TATTAACTAAAGCCTATAGTTTACTTGAAGGAGCTCTGGTAACATAGTGGTTACGAATCGGGCTGCTAACCCTTAGGTCGTCAGTTCAAAACTACCAGCGGTTCCGCGGGAGAAAGATGAGGTGTTCTGCTCCCGTAAAGATTTACAGCCTCGGAAACCCTGTGCAGGGTCGCTATGAGTCGGAACTGACTCCACGGTACTTAACAACAACAACAATATAGCTTACATTAGGATTCAGCCTTTGGGTTTTAGCAAATATAGGATACAACCATTGTATCCACGATTACAGTGTTATATAGAATACTTTCACCTATTCATCCCTTCCTGCACCCTGTAGTACAGCAAACTTACTACAGTTTCCACTTTTGTTTTTGTAACATGAGATTCATATAGCATCTGAAACATATGTTGATGTTTCAGTCAGTTCTCTTAATCTTTCTGGAAAATCAGTAGCATTCCTGGCATCTTGCTTGCTTTTTTTGTATGTGTGAATTGAGTGATAGTTTTCATGGGAGAACATCAGCTTTATACACCTTCATATATTTTTATAAATTTTAATAATACATTAAATTTTACAGTGGATGTTACTATTTTCTGGCTCATATCCTACCTGGTTTCATTTTATGGGCTGGATTTAGTAAACCATTTGTTGGATATAAGCAAATCAGGAGGAACAGTCATATTGACAGAAAGTAAATCTGCATTGTTGCTGTTGTTAAGTGCCATCGAGTTGTTTCTGACCCATATAGGGTTTCTAAGAAGCGACTGGTGAGCTTGAACTGTCCACCTTACAGTTCAAACTGACTTTGCAGTCCAGCACGTTCACCCAGAGCGCCACACTAGAATTCTAGTCTGCATTAGAGGTGACAGAAACCACAAGAGAGGCATAAAGAAAGCACTTCAGAGGCTTAGTGGGGCTAAAGATCATGTTTATTGGACATTCAGGAAAGATTTTGAAGGCTAAGTGGTATTTGAGCAGCATTTAAAGGACTGATGGACAGAATTGGAGTGGGAGTTGAAAGAGAAAAGCATTTGAATGAGAGCAAACAGTATGAACATTGACACATTAAGTTGTGGTATGGGAAATGAGGAGTAGCCTATATGAGAGGGCTCCCAAAAGTTTGTTGGAAAATTCCATAATCTTTCAGTTCCATTTTCCCACACACCTTTTTTTTTTTTTTAGTTTTTATTGTGAATTGAGTGAAAGTTTACAGTGCAGATCATCATTCAACAAATCATATACTTTGTTTCATTACAATGGTTATAATCCCCATGTACCATCAGTTAACACTATTTATGTCTATTCATTTTAGCTCTTTTTTTAAAAATATGCAGGCATATATAATAATTTACACCCCAAAGGGCACATTCTGTAAGTCTGCCTCCTGGCTGCCATCTCTTAGGCCCTTTGTTCCCATGAATCCAGAGTCCTCAATTGCTCCCTCTCCATGACCCCATCTCTGCCTCCATCTCTGACATCACTGCTTCTCTGGATAGGGTCTCACATTCCGCTTGTGCTATTCTCCCTTGATGGTCCTAGGGTCCTTTGTTTCTAGACTGTAAGATTAACTGTTCCACTGTTTTTATTTCAAAACTTCTACCTTTACAATTGTGACAGTCGCA